CACTTGACAATGGTCTGCCCTGGGCAAGTGTGGATGCCTGTTTCTACCCAGCACCACAGCTTGGGACCCCAGAGCATCCAGGATCCAATGACCTCAACCTCCCACTTTCCCATGGGAAAACAGAAGTGGGGCAGATGAATGGGATTGCAAGGCTAACTAATAGCTTTGGTACTTTATGAAACCGTGATTAGCATAAATTTGGACCAATAGCATTGACCCAACTGCTACATAACCCCCTAGACTAGCACACTCAAGTGGCAACCCCTAACAAATACCCTCTTGCCCAGTGGGAGTTGTTTCTATTCACACTCAAATAAATCCAGTTCTTACTCATCCTTGTCTGTGGATTTCCTTCTTTGAATTCAGAAGACAAGAACTCAGAAGAAATTGGCCAGGAGCTGCTGGGGTCTGTTGCAACACTGGAGGGCATAGCCCACTAGTAAGAACTGCAACATGTTTCTTGGCTGCAGAGGCATGCAGCTTATGCAAGACCCCATCCACCAGCAGAAGCAGAGAAACTCCAGTTTCATTAATGTAATAGGGACTTGGAGAGGCTGTCTTTGCTAAAAGAAGTAACTCTTGGGCCTGTAGATGCCTCATGGGTAACCAAAAACAGGATAAAGTTTGGCATCTCTGCCTTATTTTGTATTTGTCTTCGGATCTCTGCTCAACTTTGTGCCTAGGGATGTTAATCATTTAAGGAGTATTTATCTAAAAACAAGTAATACAAGTTTTCTGGTTTTGTTTTTTGATACTGGAGATTGAACTCAGGGGCCCTTGCCATAGTTATATACCCAGTCCTTTTTATTTCTTAAGACAGAGTCTTGCTAAATTGCTGAGGTTGTTCTCCAACTTTGTGATTCTCCTGACTCAGGCTCTCAAGGGATTTTAGGTATGTGTCACAGTGCTCAGTGTAATATAAGGGTTATTACCCCTAAATGTACCTATCCCGTCTTGTTCCCCTTGAAGACTGGGTCTTCAGCATCCTGTTTTAGGCCTCTGGAGAGACACCTAAAGTCTTCAGTTACTGCCCTACTAGAGGAGCCTTATAGACACTTCACCCCACGCAGGAATTCCCCCCGAGCAGGAGCAATCATCTCATGAGAACTGTGATCCCACCCTTTTGGGATCATAGGTCTAATAAGTATTTTGAGCAACAAATGGAAATTGCTCCCCTCAAGTGATAAAGACTTTTCTGGAGCCACTTTGTAGAACCGGAACTGAAATAATGATCAACCAGGCCACAGTTTAGCCAAGACTGTTTAATTATGCAGACTTCTCTCTCCCTGCCCTAACTCTTCCTCTATTTAACCCCAAAGCTCCTGTCAGCACTCTGAAGACAGGACGGAGATGCTGCATCTCACTTTGCCTGCCCAGTGTGCTCATGTTGACTCAAGTCCTTTTCCTGTTTCTCACTGTAACCTTTTCTGTTTGGTTTTTGGGGCAAATGGGTGGACCTGGTGTGTTGGAGCCCCCAAAGTCAGGCCTCTGGCTTAGACTCTGGTAAGACTAAGAAAGAGGCCTCATTAGCTCCTTTTCCTGATCAGAACACCTTGCCAGAGATAGGTTCTTCTGAAATAGGGAGGCAAGAACTACCTCAAAATGGATACCAGTGAGGAGGAAGGGAGGAAAGATGAAGAGGTGAGGCCACTTCAACCTGCCAGCTGTAAAGACCTGGAATTTGGGATTCCCAAATTTAGCATCTCCCAAAATAGCACTGTATTCTAGCTCTTCTTGAATTGCATCCTTTACTACCAGGCCACAATCAGCTTAGATTGCTACTTCTCCTTACATATCCCAAGCAGCAGATTCTACTTCCAGGGGTGATTTGCCACTAAGCTACATCCCCAGCTTCTTTTTTTTTTTAAGCTAGGGTCTCACTAAGTTACTGAGGCTGGCCTCAAACTTGCAATCCTCCTGCCTCAGCCTCTGGAGTAGCTAGGATACATTTTCAAGCAGTAAGCTCATTGTATGCCCATCTCTGGAGAAAGGTAAACACCTAGGCCCAGGGGCTGGGCAGTACTGTGAGGTGGGGAAGAGAGAGGAGGGAGTGGGAACAGTCATTTTGGTCCGGTGGATATGTGCCGTTGTCCTTGAGCACTCACTGTGTGAGCCTCTGTGGGATCCTAATATAGTCTGGACCCCCAATCGTTCCTTCTTTATTGTCTCTGGGCTTCTCTTTATTGCCCTCAGACCTGAGGCTGCTCTGGAGACTCATTCTGGCAACCAGCAAGGCCACAGCAACTCCATCATAGGAGCCTGTAGGACTCTTATTCCACAGTGTTCTTGCTTCTGAAGGATTGATGGATCTGCTACAGGAAGCGTGAGAAACTCAAGACTCTGAGTTCTCATCCTCCCCCAGTGGCTCCTTGTCTTTCTTCCACCTATTCATTCCTACCAGCACTGAGCAGAATTCAATTTGGTACTCCCTACCCAGAGAGGAGGCTAAATGGCAATCAAAGGTAAAGTGTGGCAGGCATAACCTTTGAGCCCAACCACTTTCTCAAGACATTGTTTCCTTTCACCTCTCTCCCAGCTCCTTCCTGGCCTTTGAGGATCTTTCCTTCAATGACTACGCCTTCATTATTAAGCTTCCCTTCACTCAGTCCCAGCTGTGGCCTTGACTACCATTTATTCCAAATCTACCCCACTAGTCTAGACCTTTACCCTGTGCTTTGAACCCTTCAACTGCTAAATTATGCCAACCACAACCAAGATAGTGTGCAGGATTCCCAGTCAGCATGCCCCAAATTAGCACTATATTGTAGCTCTTCTTTGAATGGCATTCTTTACCACCCAAGCCACAATCAGCTTAGATTCCTACCTGTCCCTATGCATCCCAAGCAGCAGATTCTACTTCCTAGAACTTTGAAGTCCCATTTCCTTTTTTTTTTTTGCACAGTACTGGGGATTGAACCCAGAAGTGCTTTACCATTGAGCTACATTCCCAGCATCCTTCCACTCTATTTTTTTTTTTTTTTTTGAGATAGTCTTGCTAAATTGCTGAGCTGGCCTCAAATTTATGATCTTCCTGCCTCAGCCTCCCGCATAGCTGGGATTTTAGGTGTGTGCCATGACACTCAGCTTCATTATTTACTTTTTTTTTTTTTTTCCATTATTTACTCTTAGAGAAGTCCCTTTTACGGGCTCATTCCATCAACTTCTGTTTGGTCTTCGTTTCCAGTCCCTTTCCTGTTCATCATCCACAACACAGTGGATGCTGTAACCTTAAACACAAACACCAGGGAGCTGCTCAGCTGCCTAATGGGGAACTCTCCTTATCCCCACTCTCACTGCCCCCATTGGCTGATAAGGAATTTGGCCCCTGCTTACCAGTGCAGCCTGCCTCCACCCCTCCCAATTCTCTCTGCAGCAACCCACCTGTGGATATGCCCCCCTTCTTTTTTTGGTACCAGGGACTGAACCCAGGGACACTTAACCACTAAGCTACATCTCCAGCCCTTTTATTTTATTTAGAGATAGGGTCTCGCCAAGTTGCTTAAGGCCTTGCTGAATTGCTGAGGCTGACTTTGAACTTCCCTCCTCCCTCAGCCTCCTGAGTTGCTGGGATTACAGGCATGAACCACTGTGCCTGGCTCCCCTTCCATCCATCAAGACAACTCAAAAGCTACCTCCTTACTTAAGGAGCTCTTTGTTTTCAAAACTAGTAAATAAAAGGAATTGAGCTTCTGTTGCCTTTGAACAAACTGCATCTCAAGATATCTAAACTTTAAATGATTTTTCTACAGAAATATTTTAGATAATAAGTTAATAGGAAAATACACCAGTATTCAGACAAAATTAAGGAATTGTTATTTTTTTGGGATATGCTAACAATATTAAGTTATGGGCTTTTTTAAAAAAAATTGTTGTAGATGGACACAATACATTTTATTTATTTATTTTTATGTGGTGCTGAGGATTGAACCCCAGTGCCTCACACATGCTAGGTGAGCACTATACCACTGAGCCACAACCCCAAGCCCCATGTTAGGGTCTTTTAGGAAAAAGAAAAAAAGTCTTTAAAATAACTCAGAGAGAGGGAGGAAAAGGGTAGGGAATATAAATAGTGCAACACTACATCATATGCAACCAGAAGAATGAGAAATTATACTCCATTTATGTATGTCTAAATGCATTCTACGATCCTGTATAACTAAATAGAATAAATAAAAAATTTTTAAAAATAACAAATCTAGGTTATCCATGAGGAGGCAGATGTGGGCATTAATTATATTTTAGTTCCCCATCCCCTCTGGTATTGAACCCAGGGGTAGTTTACTACTGAGCTACATCCCCAGTCCTTTTTTGAGACAGGGCCTAAGTTGCCCAGGCTGGCCTTGAACTTGGCATCTACTTGCTTCAGCCTCCTGAGTAGCTGGGATTACAGGTGCGCCACCACACTTGGCTCTATTTTACTCTCTACTGATTGAAATTTTCAAACACATACAAGGTTGAGCAACGTGCAAGGGTTCCTTAGTTTGAAAAACACTGTGAAAAACAAAGCCGAGCAGGGGCTGCAGGGTATAGATCAGAGGTAGAGCATGTGCTTACCGTGAAAGAGCCCTGAGATTGATCCCCAGAGCAAACAAAGGCTACATCTCCCTGCTCGCATAAAGCCTTCCGTACAGTGCTTCCTCTCCCTGTTTCCTGAGCACATGTCCTTGCCACCCTTGTGGCAGAGGCCAGGCCCATCTTCTGTCCTCAGCTTGGTACACAGCAGATGCTTAATGAATGTCAGTTGAGTGAGTTGGTGGTACTTCCAGAGCTGGCTGCTACAAGAGCATCTCCCAACATAATCTTCCTAACACCGAAAAATGGAAACAGCTCCAGGATCCTGAAGAGGGTTGAGTATTTTCCTTCTCCATATGCTGCCCACTGAGCACCTGCATACCAGGGCAGCCGTACCAGCTCGGGAGGGTGCTCCATTTTCATTCTTGGGGATGAACTCCACTCCTACCCTGATCCCCATCCTCAGATACCACACAGACACATATGACTGCTGAAAGAAACTTTAATAGAGCATGGCTGACTCTTGCTTCTTAGAGTTCAAGGTCAAAGAGAAAGGGCATCACATCTGTAAGAAAAGGAGAGAGTTCAGAGAAATTTGCACTTTGTAACTGCTGTTCCGAGTCTGGACTGCTGTCTCGCAGCGAGCCACCTACTCCTTCTCAAGGCTCAAATGCTGCCTTTTCTGAGGCCTCCGTGAATTTCCCCAGGAAAAGTGAAAGTCTCCTTGGCACGTCACTCCTGCTCCACTGTGTGATACCATTTTCCCAGGAAGTGGGGCCAATGCACCCCATGGACTGTGTACATCAAGTCCTACACTCCTGAGGAGAGGTCTCTCTTCAGAAAAGCATCACCAGAGGGTCTCAGACAACTGCTATTTTCCCTGATCCCTACAGAAGATGCCCCCCAGAGTGTGACCCAGGCTGCAAACTCAGCCTTGGGGTCAGGTTCCTTGGGTCTCCCCTTGGGCCCACACATGACAAGGCTTCACACCTGGCTGGCTCATGCACTGTTGGATACTTTCCAGCCGAGTAGAAGCCAAGGCACGGGCCTCCTCTGCAAAGCGGCGGTGTCCCTCCTCAGTCAACTTCCAGAGGCAGGATCGAGGCCGGGTGCTGGCCTCACCCTGCATACTGACCGGCACTTTCTCAAAGCTGTCTCGAAAACAGAGATTGTGACGGACAGTATTCTTCCAGCCTTCTGGAGCCGTCCGGAAAAAGGGGAAGTGTTGTCTGTGGACAGGGAGGAAAGATAAGGAAAGTCATGGTTTCTTTGGGGGAGGTCCTACTCTCCAGCTGGCTCTCCCCACAGGGGCCCCTCGAGCCTCAGCTCTTCACAAGGTGGATAATGGCCAGCAAGCCTTTGCTGCCTGAGCATGTGGCAAAGCCTCCACCTGATTCATTGCTTATGAGGAGCCCCCTCTTTTGAGCCTCTTAACCCCAGGTTCTTTTTCCCCCCTGTCCCTTAGGGCTTAGGATGTTGACAAAGCAGGGACAAAGCAGAACCAGGCCCCTGGTCAAAGGGATATATCGATTCCAGGATTAATATGGAGACATTAGGCTCTTCTGATACTGGGAAAGGGCCCAAGAAACTCCCTCAGACACATGTGTACATGTGCACACCTGTAATCCCAGAACTCAGGTGGCTGAGGCAGGAGGATCACAAGTTCAAAGCCAGCCTCAGTTACTTACTGAGGCCCTAAGGAACTTAGTGAGACCCTATCTCAATAAATAAATAAATAAATAAATAAATAAATAAAAAGGGAGGAAAAAAGTTGAATGCAGAGCTGGAAGTGTGGTTCAATGGTAAAGCATGTTGGAGGCCCCAGGTTTAATCGCATGCACACATGCTACTAAATGCAAATCCCTTCTCAATTGGGCTCTCCTGACCCCTGAGGGCACAGGAACTTGTGTTAGGCAGGAAGGTCATTAGGATTAGCATGGCTGGGGAAACCAAGTTTTATGCTGGCTAATCTTGAGAGGCAGTAGGTAGAAACTGTTAGTAGAACCAAGTGAGTCTATGTTTTAAAGGAGAACCAAGACACAAAAGGCTAGAGTTTTTTTAGACCTGAAAGAGGGTAGGAGTGATTATGTCCTTGCACATGGGTGGCAGGTATTCACCTGGGAAAAGAGGACTGGGAAGGCACTCATCCTCAGACCCAGATGAGGAAACTGAGTCAGCAAGCCCAGAACCAGGGCCCTGACCCCTCCCTTCCCCCTCCTCACAGGGCCCCCCCGCCCCCCCACACATACCGAGTGAAACTGTAGATCTGCTGCACGTTGAGGCCACAGGGGGGACTGTTTCTTAGTGCCAGGGCAATTAGGTGGAAGTAATTGAGAGGGGGCCGGGACCAGAGCCTCCCCTCCGGGCTGATGGCTTGCCGAAGCCTCCGACTCTGGAGGGGGGCCCTTGTGTGAGGGGACGGGAGAGCCACAGAGGAGCTGTCATCCTGGTCCTTAGCCTCCTCCTCTTCTGGGAGCTAGAGGAGCACAGAGTAGGAACTGGTCCTGACTCCTTGGCCTCAACTCCAGGGTGCAGCAGTCTAGGACCACCATCTGGGCTTGTCCCCAACCCAAGGGTACTAGTCTCTTCTGAACCCATTAACCTTTGGCTGTCCCTAAGAAAACCAAACAGTGACACTTCATCCCTGAGCCCACCCTGCCTATGCCCAAGGCTGGCTCACAGCCCCAGGAAGCCATACCTCCCAGTTGCTGGGGGAAGAAGCGAACTGCTTCCGGGGCGGAGACTGCTCACTGGAGGAATGCAGCGATGACTCTGCCCTGGCGACCTCTGAGTAGCTGGCATCCTCCTCCTTTGGGGGTGCCTGAGGGGATGGGGGCTCGCTCATCAGATCCTCTCCTTTCTTAGATTCTGTAACCTCCAGCTTGCCGGGGGGATACACCACATTGGGGTTCACCCACATCCACAGGTTGGGCTCAATATCTGGACCTGTGCAGAGCAAAGGGAGACTGTGTGCCACAGTTCACTGGCTTTGGGTGTCCCTGGTATCTAGCCCAGGACGTGGAGCCAAGTCAGAGAACCCACCACTCACCGTCTTCATCCGCATTGGGTTTTTTTTCCAAAGGTAGTTTTGGCGGTTCAACTATTCGAAGTTTGTATCTGGCAACTGAAGAAAAGATGGAAGAGAATCAAAATGTTCTAGTATTTCCATTGTGACTCCAGGATCTTGAGCTTTGAAGGTCTCTTGGGAAAAGGTTGTGGACCCTCCCTGGGGAAGGAAATGTTAGACCACTATATTCGACTGGTTTTCCCTTCATTTCTGAACTTCTAACCACCTCACTTTTGTTTTTTTGTCTTTTGTTTTTTTGGTACTGGGAATTGAACTCAGGGCACTTTACCACTTAGCTACATCCCTTCCCCTTTTTGTTTTTTATTTTGAGACAGGGTCTCACTAAATTGCAGAGGCACTTGTGATCCTCCTGCCTGAGTCTCCTGAGTCTCTGGGAATCCAGGCAGATACCCCACGCCCTACTCCTTTTGCATTCTTTTCTTCACATATATTGTCCCCAAATGATCTCATGCCATGGTTTCAGCCAATCATCTATAAATATAGGGCTCCCAATCTTTACCTGTAGTCCAGATTTCTCTGCTAATCCTTAAATGGGACTTCCTATTGGATATCTTTACTTGAGTAGTCTGTGTGCATAGCAAGCACAACATTTCTAAAACTGAATTCCTTTATTTATTTATTTTTTCAGTCCTAGGGATAGAACCCAGGACCTGGCACATGTTAAGCAAGTGTTCTACCAGTGATCTACATCCCCAGCCCCTGAATTCCATTTTCTTGCTCTTTCTCCTATATTTCTTGTCTCAGCAAAAGGTACCACCATCCAACCAGACGTTCAGGGCAGAAACTATTTTGCGTTCCTTGCTGTTCCCATGAATGTCATCATATTTCAGACAAATCTGGGTTTTCATTTTGGAAATGATGATATACTTATAGAAAAGCTCAGTAATTAGAAAGGATGCACACTGCTGGGCATGGTGGTGCACAACTGTAATCCCAGCAACTCAGGAGGCTGAGGCAGGAAGATCATGAGTTCAAAACCAGCATCACATCATATGGGATTAGGCCCCAATCTCCTTAATAAGACTCCTATAGCACAAAAATTAAAACAAAGAATCAACAAATGGGATGGAATCAAACTAAAAAGTTTCTTCTCAGCAAAAGAAACAATCTGTGAGGTGAACAGACAGCCTACATCCTGAGAGCAAATTTTTACCCCTCACACATCAGATAGAGCACTAATCTCTAGGGTATATAAAGAACTCAAAAAGCTAAGCACCAAAAAAAAACAAATAACCCAATTAACAAATGGGCCAAGGACCTGAACAGACACTTCTCAGAAGAGGATATACAACCAATCAACAAATATATGGAAAAAATGCTCAGCATCTCTAGAAATTAGAGAAATGCAAATCAAAACTACTCTAAGATATCATCTCACTCCAGTCACAATGGCAGCTATTATGAAGACAAACAACAATAAGTGTTGGCGAGGATGTGGGGAAAAAGGCACACTCATACATTGCTAGTGGGACTGCAAATTGGTGCAGCCAATATGGAAAGCAATATGGAGATTCCTTGGAAATTTGGGAATGGAATAACTATTTGACCCAGCTATCCCAGACTATACCCAAAGGACTTAAAAACAGCATACTACAGGGACACAACCATATTAATGTTTACAGAAGTACTATTCACATTAGCTAAACTGTGGAGCCAACCTAGAAGCCCTTCAGTGGATGAATGTATAAAAATAATGTGACATATATACACAATGGAATTTTACTCAGCAATAAAAGAGAATAAAATCACGGCATTTACAGGTAAATGGATGGTGCTGGAGAAGATAATGCTAAGTGAAGTTAGCCAATCCCAAAAAACAAATGCTGAATGTTTTCTCTGATATAAGGAGGCTGACTCATAGTCGGGTAGGGAGGGGGAGCATGGGAGAAATAAATGAATTCTAGATAGGGAAGACGGGTGGGAGGAAAAGGGAGGGGGCAGGGGATTAGCAAAAATGGTGGAATGTGATGGACATCATTATTCAAAATACATGTATGAAGACATGAATTGGGTGTCAACATACTTTATATACAAACAGAGATATGAAAAACTGTGGTATATATGTGTAATAAGAATTGTAATACAATCTGCTGTCATTTTTTTTTTAATCAATTAAAAAAAACCCAGCATCAGCAACTTAGCGAGGTCCTGTCTCTAAATAAAATGCAAAAAAAGGACTGGGAATGTGGCTTAATAGTTAAGCACTCCTTTTAAAAAAAAAAAAAAAAAAAAAGAATGTGCACTACATTGCTAATATTTAACATAGTACTACTAGAAAAAGGAAAAAAATAGCAAAACAAATTTGGAAAGGAAAGGCAAAGCTACTGTTATTTGAAGAAAAAATAATTAATATAGATTATAATATTAATAGACAAGTTATTAGAACCACTAAGAACCCAGCAACTTTGCTGCATGTAAGAACATAATAATCAATAATATTTCTTTATGTCAGCATTAAAAATGGAAAATAATTTTACAAAGGTACTGCTTATAATAACAACAAAAATTATAAAGAATCTAGGAGTTAACTCATAAAAGAATTGACTAGACCTTTAGGGGAAAAATGTAATCACTTTTTTTAAGACATAAAAGACTAGAATAGGGCTAGAGATGTAGCTCAGTGACAGAACACTTGCTTAACATGCATGAGGCATGAATTCAACCAGAGCACTGGAAAAGACAGACAGACAGACACTCTCTACGTGTCCAGGCTCCCTATGAGCCCTGAGTCTTTGAGCTCAAGTGATCTATCTGCCTCAGCCTACTGCATAGCTGGGTCTATGGGCACATCACCTCTCCTGACTGAACCCTATCTCAGAAGTACCTCAGTCAAAATCTAAATTAACAAAATAATTGCAACCTTCCCACAAACTCATTTATGTACTCCATAAAAATGTACCACCTCAGGCTGGGGCTGGGGCTCAGTGGTAGAACGCTTGCTTTGCACGTGTGAGGCACTGGGTTTGATCCTTAGCACCACATAAAAATAAATAAAGATATTAAAAATATATTTTTTTTTAAAAATGCACCATCTTTTGTCTTTCCAGCTAACTCCCTCTCAACCACAACGAGGATCCCACTGACATCACCAATCTATCCATCTATGGCTTCAGAGAACTTGTTTGGCAGAATCGGGTTTAATCAGGGTGGTGGTTTGCCCAAACAAGTGCTCCAAAGCCATAGAGAGGCCAGGGACTCGCCCCTACATGCAAGGGAGTCATGTAACTTTTCTGAACCCAGGGCCTTGTGCATGCTAACATTCTACCAAGAAGCTACATCCCCAGCTCTTTTTATTTATTTTAAAATACTTTATTTTATTTATTTTAACTGTAGTGGGAAACAATACCTTGATTTTATTTATTTATTTTTATGTGATGCTGAGGATCAAATCCAGCGCCTTGAACATGCTAGTCAAGCGTTTTATTCTTGAGCCATAACCCCAGCCCGCAGCTCTTTTTATTTTGAGACAGGGTCTAAGTTAACAGACTGGTCTTAAATTTGCAGTCCTCCTGTCTCAGCCTCCCAAGTAGCTAGGATTACAGGCATGTGCCACTGCACCTGGCTGCCTACTCATTTCCACTGGGACGTCTAACGTGGCCAGAGCATAACTCCTCATTTTCCTCCGTAAACCTTTCCTCAAAAAACCTTTCCCATCTCAGTATAAGACAACTCTAAACTGAGTATGGTTATGCATACCTGCAATCCCAGCTACTTGGGAAGATGAGGCAGGAGGATCACAAATTCAAGCAAGGACAGTCTGGACAAAAAAGGGCTGGGGAAGTTCAGTAGTAGGATACCACTAGATTCAATCCCCAGTACTGGGTGGGGGCAGGAATCTTCCTTTCCAATCTACCGATTTCTTTTCCCTTGAGCTGAAGGAGCTATTCTGCCCAGACTGGCTCAGCCTCTCCAGCAGCTGGGACTACAGGCATTTGCCTCTTGCTGAGCTCTGAAGAGTCTAGGTTTTTCCTTTTTGTATTTGCAGTGCTGGGGATCTAACCCTGGGCCTCATTCCTGTTAAGTAAGTGCTCTAACACTGAACTACATTCCCAGTTCCCAATTTTTATTTTTCTTATACCACACATTCCATCCATCAGCAAATCTAGTTAGTCCTAACCTCTCACCACCTTCTTTGTCACCACCCTGGTACAATCTACCATCATGTGTTGTCTGGATTACTGCCATGGCCTAAGTAGTCTCTCTCTCTCATGGGGGAGCAAATACGGCACCCAGGGCTTGATACATGCTAGACAAATGGTGGACCATTGAGCTACATCCTCAACTCTAACACTCTTGAATAAATGAACACATATGAATGTTCACTATCTTTAATTATGGTGGCAAAGTGCTGGAAGCAATTTGGATGTAAGGAGAGTTAGAAGGTCAAAGGAAATATATATATATATGAGAGAATATTACCCAACAGCCAGAAACATCAAATTAGATTGCATTTAGAAACAGGAAGAGGGGCTGGGGCTGTAGTTCAGTTGGTAGAGCACTTGCCTAGCACATGTGAGGCACAGGGTTTGATCCTCAGCGCCACATAAAAATAAAATAAAAAGGTATTGTGTCCATCTACTATAAAAAAATTAATAAAAAAAAAAAAGAAAAGAAACAGGAAGAGCTCTGGAAAACAAGGTGGGAGGGGCCAGGCATGGGCAGGGAGGCTGAGGCAGGAAGGTCTCAAGTTTAAGCCCATGCTCAGCAATTAATGAGACTCTGTTTTTAAAAAAAAAAAAAAAAAAAAAAAAAGCCTGGGGATGTAGTTCAGTGGTAAAGTGCCCCTGGGCCCAATTCCCAGTACCAAAACAAAACAGAACCAAAACATTTTAAATAGACTAGGGTTTGTACATAAGTGTGGAGGAGATGATGGACGTGGGAGGTAGAGATTGAAGAGGGAAAACCAAGAGTTAACCCAAGCACCTTGTTCCATCAGATGACAAAAAGGTACCATGAATACATGGATGACATTAACTCAACTTTGAGGTCCAAAGAAGGAAAAGAAATTGTAAGACCACAATGGTCAATCATCCATTCAACAAATATTGAGCACTTCTAGATCTAGGCAACGCCCTAAGAGGTGAGGTTACGGCCATAAACAAAATGATAATTTACAAGTTCTTTTAAAGAGACATAAAAATAAGTAAAGCGTACAGTTCGACAAATGGCAAGGATGGTGGGCCAAGGTGAAAGGCTGGGGAGGGGCCTAGGATGCAAAAGCTGGAAGAGCTGGAAGGCGTTGTCCCTTGGGTGCAAGTGCTGCCCTGGGCGGGTTTCCAGTCCAGGCGGAAGCCCAGTCCCCCTGCCGCATGGCGCCCCTAAATGGGCACTGGGGGAACTTAGCATGCACGGGGGCCTCGGAACCCGAAACCAAGCCTGAGGGTGCCGGGCCCTGGAGCAAGGCGCAAAGCCTGACAGTCCTCGGCCCCAACCCAGCCCCGCGGGCTCTCCCATCCCCCGCCCTGACGAGGTACTCACGGTTCTGCTCCGTCAGGGGCAGGTGCGCCGTGGTAAAGGCCAGAAAGGACTCATTCCCCATGTCCCAGTCCAGCAGTCCTGGGACCTGGCCATGGAGGCTGTCCCAGAAGTCGAGATTTTGGAGTTTGAGGTCCACTTTTAGGGAGAGGAGGCACAGAGCGGCGCGGAGTGGGAGAGAAGAGCGACACCACGCTTGCCCTCGCGCACTTCCTCAAATACCGCGCTGCGCTGGCTTTAGGCGGGAGGCTGCCCAGGTGTGCAGAGCCCTGCTCGACGCCTCCACTCCACCCGCTAGCCTCCAGGAAGTCTTTGCTCAACCCGCTACCCTTGCACGTTGGGGTCTGGGAGGATTAGGCGGTCCAGAAGAAATGTAGCCCGGACCATTTATCCTCTCGATATTTACATAAAACTTATTTTATATAAAAGTCATAATGAGCTGGACGCGGTGGCGCACGCCTATAATCCCACCAGCTCGGGAGGCTGAGGCAGGAGGATCACGAGATCAAAGACAGTCTCAGCAAAAGCGAGAGGCTAAGCAACTTAGTGAGATCCTGTCACTAAATAAAATACAAAATAGGGCTGGGGATGTCAGTTGTCGAGTGCCCCTGAGTTCAATCCCTGGCACCAAAAAATAAATAAATAAATAAATAATAAAAATAAAAATAAAAAATAAATGAATAAAATAAAAATTAAAAAGTGTAATAATCCCATGATAGTATTCATAGCTACTTTCTAGAAGTTTCCATAGGATTTACGGCTTATTCAAGATTGCATTTTGTAGTAGATGATGGAGATAGGATTAGATTGAATTGTGATTTGATTTTTTTAAAATAGTTTTTAATAACTTTGAAATCACAGAAAAATCTCGAGAATACTATTAAAAATTTTGTATACACTTTCACCCAGATGCATCAATTAATATTTTATCCATTTAAGTTTTTCTCTTCATATGTATTTATTTATTTATCTTACAGTGCTGAGGATTGAACTCAGGGCTTTGTGCATGCTAGGAAAGTACGCCCTAACCCCCAGCACCCCAACCAACAAGTCTTTTTTTTTTAATATTTATTTTTCAGTTTTAGGTGGATACAATATCTTTATTTTATTTTTATGTGGTGCTGAGAATCCAACCCAGTGCCTCACGCTCGCTAGGCGAGCCTGCTACCACTTGAGCCACATCCCCAGCTCCACCAACAAGTCTTTCATGTAATTTTTTTTCCTGGCCTAGGATTCCCTTAAGGATCAGACACGTGCATTTAATATCCATGACTCTTTGGTTGCCTTTATTATTCTTTTTTTTTTTCCTTTAGTCACCTTTAATCTAGAGCAGAGTCTCAGTCTTTGTAATCTTTTGTAAACTTCACTTTTTTTTTGTACTAGGGATTGAACCCAGGAGTGTTTACCACTGAGCTATATCCTCAGTCCTTTTAATTTTTTATTTTGAGATGGTCTTGCTAGGTTGCCGAGGCTGGCCTTAAACTTGCCATCCTCCTGCCTCAGCCTCTAAAGTTGTTGGGATTACAGGAATGTGCCACCATTCCATGCCAATCGTTGGCATTTTTGAAGACCATAGGCTGTTTATTTTATTGATAGAATGACCCTCAGCTCAGTTTTAATTTGGCTGGTGTTTCCTAATAATTAGAGTTAAATTGCATTTTTTTTTAAAAAACAAGAATATCACAGAGGTAATGTTTCTTGCTATATTGCTTCAAAAGACACATGATGTCAGTTTTTGAAATTTCTTAAGTAAATTTCAATCACTAGGTTTAGTGGTATCTGCCAGGTTTTCTTTACAGTTACCTTTTCCCTTTTTTTTTTTTTTTTTTTTTGTAATTAGTGGGGAGACACATTGAAATTACCTGAAATCCTGTTCATTAAATTTTAAACCACTAGCATGGTTTATGAATCTTGCCCGAATCAATCATTACTATGATGGTTATTAAATGGTGATTTTTATAAATTTATCATTGTTTCTCCACTTATTTAGTTGGCATTCAATTGGGTTAATAAAATTTTGTAGGAGACCATCGATTAGGCTCCTGCCCTGGACCCAATACACCAAACAAATACAGAGTTTAATCACTGATTAAACTGAACTTTAGTTAATTGCACAGGGCTCTGTAGCCCATTAACCAATTAAGCTGTAACAGATTAGTTGTCTCTGTACCTCATTGCTTTCTTTAAATGATGTCAGATCATGCTGTTGACTGGAGTTCTTAGGAGCTTCTTTGGTTCTGGGAGCTGACAGATTCCCAAACTATCTTTTGCTTTATTTTTCTTTGCTTAGATAAACTCTACTAAATTAATTTTTTTTTGAGATATAGGGGATGGGGGTGGTTTCTGGGAATTGAACTCATTGACTCTTTACCACTGAGCTACATTCCCAGTCCTTTTAAATGAATTTTTAAAAAAATTTGGAGAGAAAGGGTCTTACTAAGTTGCCCAGGTTGTCCTCAAACTTTTTATCCTCCTGCCTCAGTCTTTCCAGTAGCTGGGATTACAGGTGTGAACCATCACACCTGACTCTAAGGAAGTTTTTAAAACAATTGTAAGGAAGAGCTATTTCTTCTCACATTTTTGTTTATTCGCCCGTGTGTGTGTGTGTGTGTGTGTGTGTAGGGGGGTGCGCTGGGGGTTGAACTGAGGACCTTGTGCATGCTAGGCAACTGAACTATATCCCCAACCCTTACATTTTTGTTTATTCATTAACAATATTGACTTAGATTTTTTTAATATTTATTTTTCAGTTTTAGGTGAACACAATATCTTTTATTTTATTTTTTTAATGTGGTGCTGAGAATTGAACCCAGTGCCTCACGCATGCTAGGCGAGTGCGCTACCATGGAGCCACATCCCCAGCCCGACTTAGATTTTTTTTTTTGAAAAGAGTGGATTATAATCCATTGCCTTTTTTTTTTTTGAGACAGAGAATCTACATTTCCCAGGCTGGTCTTGAACTTCTGGGCTCATGTGATTCTCCTGCCTCAGCCTCCCTAGTAGCAGGGGCTACAAGTATGCACCACTGTATCCTACTGAATATTTGTTCTTATCTTGAATTGTCCCAAATTTGGCCCTTGGTTGAGTAGCCTCTTCTGGTTCTGTGTTATGGCATCCTGGGTTCCCCTATCAGAGCCCTTCTACTCTGTATTATGATGCTTGTTTCTTGCCTACTAGACAATTGTGTGTGTGTGTGTGTGTGTGTGTTTCTGGGGATTGAACCCAGGGGCACTCTACCATTGCACTGTATCCTTATCCCTGTTTGTTTTTTTATTTTGAGACAGGGTCTCACTAAGTTGCTGAGGCTGGCCTTGAAACTTGTGATCCTCCTTCCGAAGCTTCCCAAGTGGGTGGGATTACAGGTGTGTGCCACCACACCCAGCAATTGCTTCCTTCTTAACAATTTGCTAAGATTATTACTTGAAATACCAATTCTAATAATCATTTTAATGATAATTTCCCTAAGTATAAAAATAATCATGTTTGATATAGACAACTTGGAATATACAGGAAGTACAAATAACAAAAATTATTCTTTGCAGGGTGGGGATATAGCTCAGTTGGTAGAGTGCTTGCCATGCATGCACAAGGTCCTGGGTTCAATCTCCAGCACTACACACAAAAAAAATCATTTTGTATCATAGAGAGTTAAATATATATACATATTTTATATAAAAACATAAAATATTACATTAATTTTATATTTAACTTTATATTTTAATTAAAATGTGTATATTAAAATAAAAATTATATTTTAATTAAATATATTTAAATTTTTCTTTTGCTGTGCTGAGATTTGAACCCAGAGCCTTCAAACACGAGACACATGCTCAACCACGGAGCCATAACTCCAGCCTCAAATTGATTACCTTTTTCTTTATGGATGTTTTGTTTTTGTTTTATTAAAAAGTGTTATTTAACCAGGTGCGGTGGTGCATGCCTGTAATCCCAGTGGATAGGGAGGTAGAGGCAAGAGGATCGCAAGTTCAAAGCCAGCCTCAGCAATTTATCGAGGCACTAAGCAATTCAGGGAGATCCTGTCTCTAATAAAATACAAAATGGGGCTGGGGATGTGGCTCTGTAGTCGAGTACCCCTGAGTTCAATTCCAGTACCCTCCCACCAAAAAAAAGTGTTATTTGGGCTGGTGGTGTAGCTCAGTGGCAGAGCGTTTGCTTAGCACATGTGAGGCAGTGGGTTTGATCCTTAGCACCACATAAAATTAAAAATAAATAAATAAAGGCATGCTGTCCAACTACAAAAAAAATTTTTTTAAAGTGTTATTCTACAAATCCCATCAGTGTGTACAACTATAATGCACCAAAATATTGTGGGATCTGGGCATGGTGGTACACGCCTGTAATCCCAGCAGCTCAGAAAGTTGAGGTAGGAGGATCTCCAGTCAAAGCTGGCTTCAGCAATTTAGTGAGGCCCTAAGCAACTTAGTGAAACCCTGTCACCAAATAAAACATAAAAAGGGCTGGGGATGGGGCTGGGGATGTGGCTCAAGTGGTAACGCGCTCGCCTGGCATGCGCGGGGTGCTGGGTTCGAGCCTCGGCACCACATAAAATAAAATAAAGATGTTGTGTTTATCTAAAACTGAAAAATAAATATTAAAAAATTATCTCTCTCTCTTCTCTCTCTCTTTAAAAAAAGGAAAAAGGGCTGGGGATGTGGCTCACTCGTTATGTGGCTCACACGTTGAGTGCCCCTTTGTTCAATCCTAAGTACCCCAAACAAACAAACAACAGCTGTGGGAAAAAAAAAGTTATTCTAATCAGGCATGGTGGCCGCACCTGTAATCTCAGAAACTTGGGGAAGCTGAAGCAGGAGAATTGCAAGTTTGAAGCCAGCAATTTAGCGAGACCCTCAATAACTTAGTGAGACCCTATCTCAAAATAAAAATTAAAAAGGGCTGGTGATGTGGCCCAGTGGTGAAGTATCTCTTAATCCAATCCTTACAACCCCCCCAAAAAAAGTGTTATTCTAATGTATCTATTAGATACATTAGCCTTTCTAATTAGTCTACTATTAAAAATGTTTTTATCATGCAAATCATATGTAATAAGGAGTTAATATTGAAAAAATGTAGAGAACTCCTATAACTCTACAGCAAAAAAAAAAAAAAAATCTAATTTTAAAACTGGACAGATGGGCTTGGTGGTGCACTTCT